TGGGTCGGGGGCAGAATCAGGGACTTGCAAGGCAGGCAGCGAAACCACTGAGCTAAATCCCAGGCCTAACCCTTTGTATTTCTGAGACAAAGTCTGCTACATTGCCCAGGTTAAATTCAAACCCCCAACTCTCCTGCCTCAGAGTAACTCCTCCTGAGTAACTGATTACAGGCATCTGCCATTTAGTCACTGTTTTAATTCTAGTACCTCATTTCTAGTAGGCACTGACATTTCTATTAACTGAATGTGTACATAAATAGGCAACAATATCATGCTCAATTTAAATCCATACCCAAGCTTATTTTCAACAATTTCAACCTCCTCCCAATTTCTCCTTAAAAGCCAGAACAATAATCTTCAGTTTCATTTAATTGTCTTTTCTTTCTAGCACATCAAAAACCAAGAGAACACATAATGAAGTAACAAAAAATAATCAAGATGGAAATCCAACAAAAGCTAAAATTCTGAAACCAGACAGTCAACTCTTAAAGCTGAGGATGAAATAGTATTTCTCAGTGATTTTTAAAACTTCATCTGAGGCTGGGGGAAGCTCACTGGCAGAGCACTTACCTAGAATGCATGAAGCCCCAGTACAATCCCAGCAAAACAAGTCTTCGGGACAGCATGGTGGGCACCTGTTGTCCCTAACTCTCAGAGGCTACAGCAGGAGGTTAGCAAGTTCAAGGCCAGCCTGATCTACAGAGCAAGACTTTGTCTCAAAGAACAACAACAACAAAAATTATCTCAAAAGTTTCAAGAATGAAATGGCCAGGTGTGGTGGCACAGGCCCATAATCCCAGCACTCAAGTGGCTGAGGAAGGAGGATCTCGAAGTTTGAGAACAGAGAGTTTGAGGCTACAGAGACCAAACTTTTCCACTTACCAGAGCTTCTACTGTACTCAGATCTTTGATTTTGTTTCCACTCAGATTGAGGTAGGTAAGATTTGGACATTTTTCTGCTAAAACTTCCAAGCCTCCAGAAATTGCATTGTCACTAAGTTCCAACTATATATTTAACATGGACAGAAAACAGAACAAAGAAGTTTAGGTTAGATGCAGGATTTTAAAAGAGTACCAATTTGAAGAAAAAAAATAGTCATCCTTTCTGACTTCAAGAGACCGTCACTACAAATCTTAACTCCAGACTGCCATCTCTATCTGTCAAATAATAATTAGAATCTCTACACAATGTGCTCCTGATTTAGTTTTGGTTCTGGTTGTTTTACATTTAAATTTTTTATTCAGAGAAGAATATCCGAATTGCTTCTCGGCCTTTTGGCTAAGATCAAGTGCAGAGAAAAATATTTGATAGATGTTAAATCCAAATTTGTACCAAAAGCAATTCCAATAATAAATTTAAACTGTTAAATCCAAGATTAGAGCTGATTCTAAAATCCTGTATAACTCTTTCTCTTATCTCTAGAAACTTTAAAATTTCTAATTAACAGGCAAAATGGTATTTTCATTTAGCCAAGAACCAGACATAACAGCCCAAGGCACTCAAACCATGATGCTCACGTGTTAATCCACTTACTTTCCGAAGTTTATTTAGGCTGGGAAGCTGAGCCAGTGAACTTAATGCCACTTTAGCCATACTCAGAAATTCTAGTTCTTTAAAAGTGTCATTCAGGCCCTCAATTTCCCCATTGACACACAGGCAATTATCAAGGACCAATTCTGTCACCTGTAAGAGAGAACACATTAATGATTACTTCTCAATCTGTTTAATTATAGACCTTGGTCTTGACACTAATGGTAAGGCGAGAATGTTAAAATACCAATCCCCAAAGCTTTCCACAGTGGTTACTGGTGCCTGCAGTCCCAGCTACTCCAAAGGCTGAGCCAGGAAAACTGGACGTCACTGGGGCCCAGGAGTTCTAGGGCAACCCTAGCAACACAGCAAGACCACACCTCAGAAAACAAATTTGCCTAGATCCTCTCATCCATCCCCAAAACCGAAACATACCAACCTGTCACTGTAAACAAGAGCAATTTTTCAAAATTGGACAAGTTTAATGCCTGCTTCAAATCAATGAGAAAAAACACAACTGTCTCAAAGGATGCATGGGAAATGTTTCTGAACCTGATAAAGAGGCCCCTCAACGCAGGAGCACAGATTTATGCAGGGAGGACACACCTGGGTTACTGGGAAAAGATTCAAGTGAGCCACCCTAAAAGAAAGACAGCAGGGAAAAGAAACAGTTTTTATCACTTTTTCAGTTTAAACCTCCTTATCTTTGGTTGATAAATGTCATCATCACTCAAAAAAACCTTGTTACCCTTTATGCAGAAATGTCAGAAGATACTTCTGGGCCAGCCAGCTTTCGGGTGCTACGTGAGGCCAAACAGTATCACCAGAACAATACATCCTTGACAAATGTCTTTCTCCCGGACACTCTGGTGGCATTTTTGTGGACTTTTTCCCACGAAGGAGGAGGGGTTCTTTACTGGATAAGAGCTGTGGTCAAAATGCACAGGTGGTTGCCAGAGTGGGCTTAATCTTAAAGAGGAGGCAGGAGAGGCTAGTTCTCTCACCAATGCCAAAATATGTTTATTTAAGGGCTCAAAATTAGCTACAGTGAGTGCCACCTTCTCTACTGGAGTATGACTGTGACATAATTATTTCAGTGAGCAAAGCCGGTATCATGATCTCCTTTTTAGAGATGAGGCAACCAAGGTCCAAAAAGCAAGAATGACTGGCCTTGGGTCATACAATTAGTATTGCTGCTCCAAGTGTGAGGTTAGTGAGAAGAGGGCTCCTACACTTGGTGTCAGAAAACCAGTTCAGCCGAGCATGGTAGCTCACACCTGTAATCCAGCACTTGGGAGGCTGAGGCAGGAAGATTATGCTAAGTTTGAGGTCATCCTGGGCTACACAGTGAGTTCAAAGCCAATCTAAAACTACACAGCGTGACTGTCTCCCCCCTCAAAAAATAGAAACCAGTCTTTGCCTTGTACAAATCACTATATTGCCGAGACTTTGTTTGTTAATTTGGATTCTAGAACACAATAAACCTTGCAAGTTTGTACAAAGAAGAAAATTTAAACCCAAAGTGTTTTGCAAAACTATGCAAATGTTTTTTAAAAAATTGTTACACCACAGGGGAGAAGTGGGGGGAACCTTCGAAAAGACAACAAACATCCTGCCATCCTTCAAGCTACCGAGAAAATTACTACAGCTCCTTAGGTTTAAAAAACCGGGGGAGGGGGAGAGATCAACCTAAATGTAGGCTTCTGAGACAACTTTTTAAACTCTTGACTTTGTTTCTCCCGAACCCCTAAAAATACGTAAGCGCTAGAAAAGCTCAAATTTTTTCTGGGATGACCCTGATAACAGTGACTCTTGCTTCTTCCCCGCCATTGCCAAATTCAGGGAAACAGGCCTGCCCCCAGCGAAAAAATACAAAAAATATCCTGAGTTCCCACTGCTCCCGAAAGCCCGTCCTCTTTGCTGGTACATCCGAGCACCACGCCACTTAAGTGTACGCGCGTGTGGCCCCTGTTCCCCAGTTCTAAGGCTTATTTCAAGGGTGCAAGGAGCACGGTGTTGCCTGTGAGACCCCCGTGCTCCCGGGAC